TACGAAGGCAGTTTCTCACATTTATCTTCATCTATAAAATGCTATTCTTTAGGATATCTTGAAGGAGAATTCAACATCTACTTTATTGTTGAGTTTGGAGTAATTGTGCATGACTAAAAGTCTGACAAGCAAGTTGAATCTCAAGTAGCATTTATACTCTCATCGAATGATAGAAGGAGAATCATTGAAAGATCACCGACTGTATTTAAGGAGATCGTCGTCGATTTGGAAACTTTGAAAGTAGAGTATGATGAAAACAATTTGGCCTTGATCCTAGTGTGTTTGTTGCCCGCTTCGTTTTCTTCATTTAGAGACATGATCTTGTATAATCGTGATATTCTCACCATGGAGGAGGTATATGATGCTTTGTATTCAGAAGAGAAGATGAAACATCTAGTTTCTGAAGCTAGAGATGGAGAATGCCTGATTGCTCATGGTGGTTCTGGAAAGGGCAGATCGAAATCTAAGTTCAATAATCAAATTTGTAACTACTGCAAGAAGGAGGGGAACTTGAAGAAGGATTGCTATAAACTGCAGAATAAAGAAATGATGGTTGCAAGTAGATATTCAGATACTTCAGGCGAAACAAACATCGTGGAAAACGTTGTAAGTGATGGAGATCTCTTAGCTATTTCTAACATTGAGTTTAAACCAGAAGATGATTGGATTCTTGATTCAACATGTGTGTTTCATATGTGTCCTAATAAGGAATTGTTTACTACATACGAAAGTGTTTTCAAAGGTGTCGTTGTTATGTGAAACAACGCATCTTATCGAGTTACTGGAATTGGTACAATCAGATTGAAGCTTTTGGATGAGACAATTAGAACACTTGACCAGGTTCGACATGTTCCAGATTTGAAGAAGAATCTCATTTCTTTGTCTATCCTTGATTCAAAGGGTTATGAGTTCTTTGGTGGAGGTGGAGGTGGAGTTTTGAATGTTTGTAAGGGTGCCAAAGTTGTATTAGAGGGACAGAAAAGGTCCCAGTTATACATCTTGCAGGGTCGTGCAGAATTCAGAAAGGTCAATTAGCCCAAGTTTAGAACCGTGGTGGACATTCAGTTTGGTGCAATATCTTTAGGAGCTCATAAAGGGTCGGATTTGAAGAATACAGTTCATGAGATATGGATAATGCCACTTTGCCACAATCATTTACAGTGCTATTGTATTCAATTGCTAGGGATGATCTCAATGAAAAAGGGTATATGGATGCTGATTTTGTTGAGCATGCGTTCAGTGGAGTAGAAGATATACAATCTAGCAAGGGGCATTCTTTAAAAGCATTTGAGTTTGATTCTTCTTTGGGGTGTGTTACAGTCCATTTTGGTAAATTATAAAATCATTATGATTTTTTTTGAATCTGAGGTAATTCTGCAGAGTAATGTTTGGATTAATTAGAAGATGTGGAGTATTTTGTGTTTGGTTGGATAAATTAATTTTTTGGTTATTGTTGAAAAAACTAGTTCATTCCTTGGTGGAATTCGTGTTAAGGTGGAGATTGTTAGAATTTGGGTGTGACTCGAATTCCTTGATGAAGTAATTGAAGAATTTTAATTGAAGTGTACATAAAGAAGAATTCAGTTTGGAATGCTATTGGAGTCCTATATCAAGTTGAAGTTCTATTTTGGAAGCCCATTGGGAGTTGAAATTTGTTTTGGACTCAATGTTTTGGTATCCTACTACATCAACAACTCAATTAAAAGGGTTTGGATATCCCCTACATGTTCCATATAAATATTAGGCTATTCTATACAATTTTATAAGTGTGAGAAAATAGATTATTAGAATTATAGGATCCATTGTAATTTTCTCTCTTCTCTATTATTCTTGAGTCAATAAAATTTCTTAATTCCTTTGTCATATTCTTGTCTTTATTATTCTTTTGTTTGATCATATACTTCACTATTATTTATCATATAACTTCAACATTTCAATCTAACGGTTTGTTTCACAACAATTAGTATCAAGCTATTCTAGTATCTTGTTTGTTTTACAACAACTTGTAAGGGCTTATTTGGAGCCTATGGAAAATGGACGGGAGGAACTTCGTACGGAGATTGTGAAGTCAATAAACAAGAAAAATAATCCACAGTGACGATAATGTAAAATCTAGCCTTTAATCTATTTTTGTCTAAAGAGAATGAGGGCGAGACACGAGTCGAGCAAGAACTTCATGAAAGCATTCATGTTGAATACCTGATAGTACATATACCCGATAGTTGCTTCGATCCTTTCACTTGAGATTGCATAAGGCGGAAGATCTAGTTTATACACAGCAAAATTAAGTATTACTTCAACAGATTACCTTCAGTGGATATTGGAGGAGATGATTTCCTGATTTGCGAGGTTATGGTTTATGGATTGGGGATTTTTGATGTTAGCGCTCCTGATTTGCTGTTATGGATCGTGATTTTGCCTTCAAGGAACGAAACTCGGGTTTTACAAAAAACAATTTTCTTACGTGGTAGCCACATAGACAAAAATGACACCGTCAATTTCACACACTTGATTCTGCCATATCACGTAAGCAAAAATTCAAACGGTTATTTGGGAGTGATGGATGCAGAAGCAATTCAAAGTAGAGTGGCTATGACATGACAATGTACAAAGTTTGGTGACCAATGAAACTTTTCAAAGGGGATGAAAGTAATATAGTCACAAATGGTGCCTTTTCTTCTGTCTTTGCTTTTGCCCTTTTTTTTTTTAATTTGATATGGGAGATATTTACTTTTTCAAAGTCTCACCAGGTTAGCACACTATAAAAAATTCTGTATATGGGACTATAAGTGTAGGCACTACCCAAAATTTAAAGGTACTCTAATAAATTACGTTGACGACCAAGTTATTATAATTGTTATAAATTGATGACCATTGCTGTATTTAAGGGTGGTCATGAGTTGAGTTAGGTCGGTTTCAAGCCCAACTCGACCATCAAACTGACCATTTGGGTTTAAGGTTTAGATAAATTGCATTGCCGTGAACCCGATCCAAATGGACCAGAGTTGAGTCGGATAGTCGGGTTGGGTCTAGTTCACAATTTTTTGCTCACCCCTCGGTGCCTTTTTCCCTTTTAAGGTCGACAACAAGATGAAAATTTATTTTATACATTGTTTTTCTTTTAGATAATTATATACCATTACAGTAAATTACAATGCATTTTAATTGAATGAACTGATCTATGCTTTTTTACACTCGTACATCCAAATCTTTTCTCATCACATTTTTACTCTCAATTTTTTATAAACAAAATAAATAAAAAATATAAAAGTTTTTACATCAATATTTGCTTCCCATTTCAACGCAAGTTAGCATTATATCTGAAAAAAATCGTAATGATGCAAAAATCCTATTTTAATTTAAGATTGATAAGAAAAATATGATGCAAAAAATTCGTAAGTGTAAAATGAGCAAAAATTTAAAACTTCATTGCTATAAAAAAGTGGAAAGGATAATTACCCTTCCCATTTTACTTTTGTTTATTTTAAGACTTCTTTAGGGCCTGTTTGGGAGTGCTTTTCTTTTTTTCTTTTTTTGGGATTTTGGGTGGCATCGTTTATGAGGGTTGGAAAAATCGCTGCTTGATAGTTTTTATGGGCACCAATTATGGATAGTTTAAAAATCACTCAAAATCGGTGCAATGTAATTTCGACCGATTTTCTCAATCCAACAGATGAGCAGGTTTTGGCTGTTTCTCATATTCTATTCTAATTTTACCCTTTATAAAATAATTATTTCCAACCAACATATTTTCTTTAAAACTAACTTGTAAATAAAAATATATTAACTAAAAAATTATTTATAATAAAAAAAATCACTCAAAATCGGTGCAATGTAATTTCGACCGATTTTCTCAATCCAAAAAATGAGCAGGTTTTGGCTGTTTCTCATTCTATTCTAATTTTGCCCTTTATAAAATAATTATTTCCAACCAACATATTTCTTTAAAACTTACTTGTAAATAAAAATATATTAACTAAAAAATTATTCATAATAAAAAAAATTAAATTATAATTAAAAAATACTTGTAAATAAAATATTACTGAGAAAATAAGTAAAATTACACAATAATTAAAAAATTACTTATAAGTAAAAAAAATCACTTTTATGTAAAAAAAAAAACTTGTTTATAAAATAAAAATACTACTAACAAGATAAAAATTCACTTAGAAAATATAAAAAAAGTTACTTATAACAAAAATAATCACTTAAAATTATTTAAAAGTATAAAATTTACTTATAAGTAAAAATATTAACTTGAAATTTTAAGTAAATATTTAATTTTTAAAGTTAAATATTAATTTATATCTATAAGTAAAATATCATTTATGAGGAAAAAAGTCTCATATAAGAAACAATTAATTCAAAATTTTATTAAGGGACATATATATAATTTTATACCTTTAGAAGACTTTCAAAATCGATGGATAGTAAACTCTCAATCATAAGTTGGACAATTAAATAATTCGCTATTAAAGTCACTCGAAATCAACATGATTATTAACGTTTAAAATAGTATTTAGAAAAACGCTCCCATTACACCAAACTACAATGTAGGCCATAAATATGAGAGTCAAGCTAGTCGTACAATCGAGGTTGATAATTTGGTTTGACAAGGGTCCAATTTTTTTTATTTAAATTTTTTAAACACAACTTCCTCTTCCTCGTCAGGACTGTGGGCGGATATTTTGTCATCCCAATTTAAGTCGACTCTTAACATTGTGGAGGAAAAGGGCATTGCGACAATTGTATAGAGATGCTGTTCTCAATCACCTCTCGCACCCTCCTGCGCTTTCCTCTCTCCCATTTCTCCGGTCTCCAAATTCTCCTGTACAGCACTTCCTCTCCCAAAAAACCACCATTTATCTCGCACCCCATTTCACGTTCCACTCAAAACAATCAAGAATCACCCAAAAATTTCACCAATTTAACACCAACCCGCTTAAATTCCGTCGATTTTAACCCCACCACAGTTCTTGAAACCCTCTATTGTTACGCCAATGACTGGAAACTTGCACTGGAATTCTTCAACTGGGTCGAAACCCATTGCGGGTTCCAGCACACCACCCAAAGTTACAACCGCATCATTGACATACTTGGTAAGTTTTTCGAGTTTGATATCGCGTGGGATTTGATAGAAAGAATGAAGAATAATCAATCTTCATTGCCTGATCATGTTACGTTTCGTATTTTATTCAAGAGGTATGTGTCGGCCCACCTCGTTAAAGAAGCGATTGATGCGTTTGATAAATTGGATGACTTTAATTTAAGGGATGAAATTTCCTTTCTGAATTTGGTCGACGCTTTGTGCGAGTACAAACATGTGATAGAAGCTGAAGAATTATGCTTTAAGAAGAAAAGGGATATAAATAATTATGAACTGTTGGGAATTAATGTGGAAGGTACAAAAATTTATAATATGATTCTTCGTGGGTGGTTTAAAATGAAATGGTGGAGGAAATGTAGGGAGCTTTGGGAGAAGATGGATAAGAGGGATGTTCAAAAAGACTTGTATTCGTACTCCATCTATATGGATATTCAATGCAAAAGTGGAAAGCCATGGAAAGCTGTGAAGCTGTATAAGGAAATGAAGAAGAAGGGAATTCAGTTGGATGTCGTGGCATACAACACCATTATTCGTGCTATTGGGATTTCAGAGGGTGTTGATGTGGCGGTTAGGCTATACAAGGAGATGATTGAATTGGGTTGTCAACCAAATGTTGTAACTTTTAACACCATAGTGAAGCTTCTGTGTGAAAATGAAAGGTTCGGGGAGGCACATAAATTGCTCAACCTGATGTTTAGAAAGGGTTGTGAGCCGAATGTGATTACATACCATTGCTTCTTTGTGTGTCTTGAAAAGCCCAGAGAGGTTCTAAAGTTGTTTGATAGGATGATTGAAAGTGGAGCGCAACCAAGAATGGACACATATGTCCTGCTCATGAGGAAGTTTGAGAGATGGGGTTTTCTTCGACCAGTTTTGCTCATCTGGAAGAAGATGAAAGAGCAAGGATTGAGCCCAGATGAGTTTGCTTATAATGCTTTAATTGATGCTTTGCTGCAGAAAGGTTTGGTTGATATGGCACGCAAGTATGATGAGGAGATGTTATCCAAAGGACTTTCTTCTAAGCCGAGGGCTGAACTAGGCACAAAACTGCAGATCGAAGGTTCATATATTAGTTGATTTTTATACCTTGTTTATATGGCTATTTACACTCAAGAAGTTCAGAGTTTTATCTGGGTGTTTGGACATTAAAATGAAGTTTGTTGTGCTCGGGTTAAAACTTGTATAATTTTGGCAAATTGCTAATGGAGGAGATATCTGATGAGAAAATCTACAGTGAGCTCTATGCTTAAAGTGTTCTCAGAAAATCGATAAGGAGATTAATGTTTCCCAAACCAATGTATGGTTCTCTTGTGTGAAACATGGCGTCATTCTGTGCTTGCAGTTTAGTGAATGATAGCTGATAAAAAATTACAGTGAGCTCTGTCTAAAGTGTTCTGGGAAAATCTATGAGGAGATCAATGTTTCTCAAACTGATGTGTGGTTCTCTTGTGTGAAACATGACTTTATGCTATGCTCCAAGAAGAGTAGGCAGTTTAGTTCTTTATTAAGGTTTCTAGACAAAATGTACACCTTTTTGAGCTTCTCTTTGACCCTTTGGTCATTGGATGCAGGTAAATGCCTTGATTGTTGTATATTGTAACAGTTATCACAATCTTAAATTTCAATGCCTGTTCTAGTCTTACATTATGTTTCCACATCCAGTTTACATCTACAGAAATTAAGTTCTGGTCATCTGGTTGGTATATTTTTGCGAAATATTAATTGGAGAACTCTACATGCTTGATACATTGTGGAGACTGCAGCTGTATGTATTGTAATCAGCCTGGTTTTGGAATTTATAAACTCAGAATTTATTTATTGTTTATTATTATTTTTTTGCCTATCCTTAAAATGATTGAGAAGTTGCTTTGACTAAGAGGAGTTCAGTAGGTTTATTTCTGGGAATTACACGAATTAATGTATGGATCAAAAGTGTTCTAAAATCCGGCTGCTTGTTTATGTTAATGATTCTAGCAGAAGTACTTATTCAGGCTGCTTATTTATGTAAATTCTGACACCCTTTATGTGCATAAATCATATGATAAAATTTTTCCTGTCTCTCACAGTGACACAGAAAGACAGCCACAGATACAGCAGACAATCAGGTTCTGTATATGAGTACTCTTCATCTTCTTTTTGTTTTCTTTTTCATCATCTAATTCTGCTCTTGGCATCAGAGAAGAATAAACATAGCTGCTGTTATCATACAACAAATTATTGTTGCTATTAGATTGAAGTGTTAGATCAGTCTCTTACAAAAAATTTCTCACAGATGTTTGATCATTAACTGAAAACAATAGATTTATTTTATTACGTCGATCAGAGTAAACTCCATCAGTTCCATGCTAGATGCTGGTCTTTTCCTATATTCTAATGTGTTTTAAATGCTGACTTTTTCCTACGTTCTGTTGGGAAATTATATTTCATTCCATGGTGGCTTTGGAAGATGCTGGTTTACATTCTGGTAAATAAAGAGGCTACAAACCCCATAGTGGTTTATACCCCTTGCTATTAAGTGGACTCGATGCAGCAAACTGATTATGAAAGAACCCGAGGAACTGTTAGACTACCTGTTTGTTTCCTTTTCCAAAAATAAAATGGAAGAATTTTTTCTTTTTTCTTTTTAACGATTCTCCCTGCCTCCAGGGAAAGTTATCTTATTTACCTTCGTTACAGTGTAATGTTTTTTCCCGAAAAGAAAACGGAGTTGATGATTTGGACCAGATTTCCTTCAGCTTAATCATTGTTTAAAGTTCATCAGTGGTAGTACAAGTATCAATTTTTCTAATTTTAGGAAGGATTTCTTATCCAAAATTTTTATACATTGTTCTTCTGAAGAGAAGTGATCCTTTTGTCAACCAACGCTTGACAAAATTCTGTAATTGCCAAACATTAGCCACAGCTTAAGGAGGAAGATTGTTGTAGTGGTTACGTAATTATTTTACATTTGGGGGGTTCTCTACAACTGTTGACAGTGAATAAACACTGATTATGAGGTCTACATTGAATTAACATAAAGTTATCAGCTGCTTCCAGAATCATCTAATTGAGACTGCAACTTCATGCAACAAAGAATCTTGGACGACCAATGTTTATTTATATAGTCAAGATTAAGAAAATTGCTAACTTCCTGTCGGCAATTGACGGTTTAAGACCTGGATGCAATTTCTTTGTTGTTTCCACTACTTCTCAAAACAGCCAATCTTGACTTGATTTATAGTCACCTATGAGCTATTGACTTATGAGAGTCGATTAAACTTCAAAAACGGAGCATGCCATGATGCAGGCAAAGTGGCAAATATTCAGAACCATTTCAATAAGAATTATTAGAAACAAACTCACGATAATTCCTCAGGAAACTTTTGTCACCCACAAATCTATGATCATAGTGGTTTTGATCCTATTGAACACGGTCATGTTGCCAGAGGTACTGGTTTCTAATTTAACAATCAAGCTGAACACATTGGTGGTCAAGGCATGCGAAGGCCCAATTTTTTGAATTCTGGCGGTAAGTTAATGTGCTAAACACAGTGCTAGGTATGTGATAAATTCAGTCTTATTGCATTGAATTGATATCAGAGTTGATTATAGTTCTACTGTTTACTCCATTATCCGTTTGTAACTTCATCTGTTCTTGGCAATAATACCGTGAGTACTTGGATTTTGAAGCCATTCACCATCTTAGTCCTGAAGCTGCAAATTTCCAGCACTCTGACCAATTTGGCAGTTGGAAATAGTAAGTACTTCCTATTTCTAAATCTTGGCTCAACTTCCTTTAAATCAAACTGTTTTTGTGTCCACAGAACATTGTTCTTCATGTTCAGTTGTTTTCTGCCAATTTCTGGATTGGTAATAATTTTTTTCTCGAGTTCCGTCCATTGCTTTTTTGTGGTGAAGGATTTGAAGTATGTGTTTCTTAAAGGGTCAATTGATCGTGGTCTTCATTAGTTTCTGCAAGATTTTTTCTGGAAGAGTCCTGTTCAATATTTTATATCTTGTTTGTCCTTTGAGTGTTATCTGAAAAATCGGGGCTGTCACACTAGATACCACTTAACAGTTCACCGATTACCAATTTAATGACTTTTAAGTTACCAAATGGTTGTTACTTATCCAGTTTTAGTTTTGACCATATGTGCGGAATTAATCAATCAAAAATAACAAATCATTTTTAATTATTTCTAGATGATTAAGCATACAAGTCCAATTATCCTATATTGAATTACCGTAGTAATAAGAAAAATAGTAAATAACACAATATTGATAACAGAGAAACCCAATTGGGTAGAAACTCCGGGAACAAGTCAGCTACCTCGACTATAGACAATACAGAGTGAATTACAATCAGATTCTATCTAGTCAACCCCACTAAATTTCTCGATCTATTTCCAGCTAATTCCAAGGTTTGCTCCAAGACCTGCTCTAAGATCTTCTGCAATTGTCTCTTCCCAGCGGAATTCTAAGAACCTGCTCTAAGGTCTTGTGTTCTTCCTGTGCCTGTAGTCCAACATCTCTCAAACTCCAACAGCCTTTGAAATTCAACTGAGAAAGTACATTCCTATGACCAATAGGAAATGGGTGATGTTTCAGATTCAATGGGTTTGATGTTTTTCCCAAATATGTGTGTATAAAATCAAAAGTGAAAGGATGAAATCAATGTATGAATAAGCTTTTGAATATGTTATAGAGAAGAAGCACAATGAACAACCACACAAATTTTCGTGCATAGGCTTGGGTATTTATAGGAGAGGGTAATTAAGTTGAATGAGCTGAAAAAAGTACTTCAAAATAGAGAAATAGGATTTTTCGGATCGACTTATCGCTCGAGGGAGGAGTTGGCGACAGGCGAACGACGCACTGTCGTTCGAGTGAGAGCTCGACGACAAGTGGGCGACAGACATTCTGCTTTTGTCGCTCGAGTGCCAACTGGACGAGAAGCTAGCAAATATGTGGTGCCGTATTCCTCCACTTTTCATGCTCGAACCCTAGACCTTATAACCCAATTTATACAGATTGTACCTTAGGTCCTTGACTTTTACAGCACGTTACAAATTAGTCATTTTGTCCACATAATTGCCAATACTAAAAACCTAACAAACTCCCTCTTCAGCATTCTGTGACAAAATTATATAATAAGTCAAGGAAAACTAAATACAAAATCTAAACTACCTAAGTTTCATCAAACATATATCTCTTGCATTCCTTATTAAACATGTTTCTTGAAATTCACAACTCAAATATCCAGAGTAAAAGCACGTGATAATGGAAATAATAAAATCATTAAACACATGATACCAACACTAGCTAGAATGAGACGTGACACTAATGTTAATCCAAATACTAACAAAAATATTAGCACCACACAATCATCAAAAACTCAAACAGTTAGGTAGATAGGTTTGGAATGCAATGCAATCAATAAATCTTCCCCTATTAATCTACTTTACCGTAAAAATTATAAAATTCTCCCATTCACAAAAAAGTGCTTTACTCTCCCCTTCAATTTTCTCATTCACAAAATTTACTTTACTCTCCTTTTTTTGTCACAAATGACAAAGGGATCGATTATTAAAAACTTTTAACATTAACATATAATAACTCAAAAATGCTGTTGTTAGCATACACAAGTACAAGTGATGTACAGTAAACATTCACACATACTTAGTTCAAGTTAACATTGAGTAAATTGTATAAGTGACTCATGTGTGTAAAATATTACTAATCATTTGTAAGTAGGACTCCAAACCTTAATTTTGTGAGTAATGACAAACTAAACATCACCGCCAATAAGTGTATTCCTCTACTTATGAAAGTCAAACAATTTAGAACACATTAAAATCTATAAAGAAAAGCTCATTTTGTATGGATATTTTCTTTTCTCCCCCTAACTTTGAGCAAATTTTAGTTTCACATCTTTCAATATTTTAAGCTTATTATTATTTTTCACATCTTAAGTGTAGGCTCTTCTCCATTAAGCGACTAAAATGACTCATGTAGCGAGCTTTAAGCCAGTTAACCCAAGTCAATTGACCATATACACCAGGTTATGAGAAATCCTGCAAACTTAATTGCTTGAGTCA